CTTCCGATCTCCCCAAAACCCCAAAACCCCATACCAATGCAATTCTTGAGTAAAAGAAAAATACAATTTGAAAATATTAATTTTATGACTAAATTTATTGAAAAGATTAAATTAATTTTTCATGGTAAGAAGTTAATCTTATAGCATCAGATCATAAGACTTCTTTTCCAGCAATTAATTCTAATTTAAACTATGACTAGTTGTGATCTCTTATGTATTTTATTTCCTCCCCATCAACTGATTCATATATAACCGTTGTCTATCCTTCATTATTTATGGAGTTCTGCAGATCAATAATATACATATTCTAATACTTAGCTAACTTCTAAGCTGATAAAGCCCCCTAGAACTTTAAAGCATCTGTCAGAAACTACGTTAACGCCTTCTTTGAGTTTGCGCCACTATATTCTGAATTAGTTTATGATTCCTCAGTAATAGATATCACATCTTAAACTATTGGAAGTGGTACAGGTGGATCGCAATCTATTTCTTTGTTAATTATTTGGAATCGAACTCCGTTCAATTCCTTGGTCATATTAATTTCAGATTCTTTAATCACACTATTTTTGTATGTGTTTACAGTCTCACTTATTTTCTAATCTATAAGTAGAGTTTGTCTATCTTAAAGGCATTCAAAGACTGAGGGCATAGCACCAACCTTCTTAATTTCATTATTGATGTGAAGCTTCATAGAGTCTTTATATTGATCCATTTACGAATCAACTTTATTGGAGAGATCCTTCGTCAAATTCCAAATATTTGACTAGTCTAATTAACTCATTTAATTTAAAATTAATTGATACAAGTTAATAAGCAAATTAAAGTATTGATGAATTATTCGTGAAAATTAAAATTAATCAAAGCATTAATAGATGATGTTTAGAGTTAGGTTAATATGTCTATTTCTTCAGTGCTAGCTTTCCTCTCTGTATGAAAAGGGTCTTGATGTACTGGTCTTTACATTCTCTCTTATTATCCCATGTCCCATAGTCTTTCCCAATTAAGGTGGCGGCAATTTATTTTCTTTAGGATATCTTCCATCATAGTTTTAGTCTATCATGGCTTTTATATTGAGTTTACTTCTCAAGTTGAATTTTAAGAAGGGTTTTGCTGTTGCTAGATTTTTGACATTCGCCTAAGAGAGCTCTCCAAATGCACCCTCTCTGCCAATAGATAATTTGTCCTATTTGATCTTTTGTTTCTGCTTAATTTTCTCCAGGACTTGTCTTGGCTACATTTTACTCTTCAAATACATGTCCAGATCCTTGCTCGTATTAAGATCAGTACCTGTAGTGAATGTCTAATTCAGAGTTCTCTCCTTATTTGCTGGTGAATTTACTTGAGTTCTTAAATTCCTCATTCTATCGGTTATCTTTTTGTTACTGCTAGCAAAGGAACCAATTCCATATTAAGATGAATTGACTCCAGGCAAATTCTGGCCACTCTCATCGTTAAAATTAGATGACTTATAGTCGCTCACTACAACCATGGACTAATCTAGTCTTCTAGATGTCATCGAGTTCTTTCTCTTTGTAGACATACTCATATTCATGTTAGTTGGTGTAGCTGCTATTAGAGAAGGCAAATAGAAAGAGTTTTACATTATAGTGCTCTCTCCAACAGATATCATGTCGTCAACGACAATAGATGGATTTGCATTTACTAGCACATTGCCCCCTATCCTCAAACTCTTTCTCAAAGCTTCATACTTTGACATCTTAGACTGATTCAGCTTTAGAATTGGATTATCGTTGATGTTGAGAGTTGACTCGTCAAACTTGAACATATTCGGCTGTGACTCCAGATTTGCGTTAAGCACTGTCTTTGGAGGAGTAATTGAGGGATTCATATTGTCAATCAATGAATTGCGATTGGTTTAAATAGGCTCGAGTAGCTTGCTATCATAGAGAGAGGACTGATCCAGAAAAGTGCTCTGACCAAACTACTACTTGGAAATGTCAAGCATTCTAGCTAACTTGATCTCTTCAAATTTGGTAAGGGCAATGTTTTGAGAGTCGAACTTTTATCTGTAATCTTGAATGGAGTACTAAGTTCTGTTCATATTGTTAAAAGTCTCTTGAGAGCCAACACGACTGCTTTGAGACTTCTTATGATGATCAGATTTAGTTTATGATATTAAATTCCCAACAGAATCTCGTAGTTGAACTTCTTTTCTAGTGTGCATATACTTTTAAATTTGCGAAAACTAAGAATCTATCACCTTAGACTGATCTTTAATCTCCTTGTACATATTGGAAGTCAGCTCTTCCTCTAAGTATTCTACACTCATTTCTCTATGAGACCCATGAATGCGCTTTGATCTGTTGAAATCACTTTCATCCACATGCAGAGAGTGATCATTGATTGAGTAAGTGAGTGGGTTGATTATTTGCTTTGGGAATCGTTCAACTTGTGGCTTCAAGACTTTTGTGATAGACCCGTCTGCCTCGATATGAAATAGTTGGTCATTCTTCTTATCTGACTTGAGCATGAAATCCAAATCTAAGCTGTTGGCGGTCTCACTCTGCCTCTTAGCGTTCTTATCTCTCTCCAGTTCCTCTTTTTTCCTGAGATCCTGGTCCCTCTTAGCTAAACGCTTCCTTTGATTTGCAATTTACTCATTTATTTCTCTGTCTAGTTCAGTTTCATTTGGTTCTTGATTTCTTGATTGATCCTTGTCATCTATCAAGCTCACTATCTTTGGCTGCTTAACCTAAGTGACATTGTTCTAACGTCCAGTTCTTCTGTAAGAATTTATACTGCGTCTGTCTAGTGGATCAGCTATTGAATTTTAGAAGGAGTCCTGCTTGCTTAATTATTTAACTGGCTGTTGTCTTATTTCCAAGGACGAACCTTTTGGTTTGCAGTTGTCCATATAGATTGGCACTGGTTCCTCATCAGAGTTAAGAAACATATCGTCTTTTTTCTAATCCAATGGCAAGAAGTATATCTGTATTATCTCCTATAGTATTGCTGCTGTGAGATTAACCGAAAACGGAGTGGACTTCGCTACTATGTCTTTTTGCTGAATAATCTTCTGGAATTTCTTTAGTATGACTTTCTCAAAGATGTGCTCGCTTACAGTAAACGAGTCTTGCTATTGCTAGCTCATAAAATGCATGAAATTCTGGTAATCTATAACGGCTTGGTCGGGTAGTTGATCTTTCTTCTATTTGCCCTTTGTCATTTTTTAATTATTTGCACTTAGTTAATTTATTAATCTGTTATAATTATATATTCAATTTATATAAACGCTGATGATACCCCGGGGTTTTGGGGTTTTGGGGTTTTGGGG